TAAGAAAGTCTTATACACGTGGCAGGAATCTAAAAACGCTGAGTGTCATTCGTCTGCTGACTTTGAATTTTACTAAACGTCTTCCTTCATTTATTTGCGCTTTACTGATTGGCTGTCATGTACACGCCCCGAATACATCCTGAACAGACAGCACACAGTACCTCGATCTGGTTGAATATGTGCAATTCAATTTCAGTCCTGTTTCTTCGGGTGTGTCAATATGTGAAGGCCTGCGTGTATTTTGACGGCGAAATAATGTGAGCTTGTTTGTTGGCGTTGAGAAAAATGAGAAAATCTGTAAATGGGAGAGAAAGCGGTGCGGGTGGCGGTTGGGGGTGGCGGTTGGTGTAGAAAGCGGGAAGGAAAAGAATGAGAACGTGGCGGGAAGAGAAAGTCAATTAACGGCAAATAAGGAAAAGGACGTAAATGGTGAAAGAAAATTTGAAGGAAAGGAAAAGAAAAAAAGAGAGAAAAGGTAAAGGGAAAAACTAAGAAAGAAAACAAAAAGAAAATAAGAGAAAATGAAAGAAAAATGATAAAACAAAATGGAAAGAATTAATAAAAAAAATAAGGAAAGAAAAATATGTACGTCTTGTGTAACACATATCGGCACGTAAAATAAAATGGACGATCCGAGTTGAAATTTTGGCTTAGTCTGTTGCATTCACTTTCTCACAATCGCTGTTGGAAAAGGATGAATCCTAATTTCTTCCAGCTATGGGTTAAATAACTGGATAGAATGGCAACTTTAGTTTGAGCAGAATTCAGTCTAAACATAGGAAAACTATAAATTCTGCAGCACTGTCTTTCTCAAGAATTCATGGCAATTGACAGATAAACCAATATCTGTTTAGATTAACGATCGCCTACGTCCTGAAGGATCATGACATTTAGAAAATGAAAAAAAAGAAAAACTTCGAAGGGTCATGACATTGAGAAAATGAAAAAAAAAAAAACTTCGACGAACTAAAAGAAAACGACGTCCGAATGCGATCCAAAAATAGAAAAAGATAGCATATTAAAAAAAAAATGTTAAAAGATAAAAAATGAAAGAAAACAAATTTGATATGGATAATTTAAACAAATTTCTATGTATAAGAACAGGAATCAATGCGCCTACAACCTAACATAGTTATTTTTTCTGTAATTTGATCTGAAATATTTTTAGGTAATTAATGCAGAAGCGTTGGATTGTGAATGAATTGGGTGTGTTGTTTTGTAAAAGATGTTTTTCTGTTCAAAACAACACACTCAATTTATTAATTGCTCACAGTAATGAGTTTGACCACTAATTTGGTTTAAAAAATACAGCTTTAAATAAAGGAGAAAGCAATTTCAAAGGACGAAAATATATAGAAAGTGCTTTAATTGCTAGATCATTCGTACTACATTTACGTCCAGGTTCTTGCAATTCACCATTCTTTATCACAATGGGGGATATTTAATGACAAATGAAATGAAATCGGCTAGATATATCATAGATAAATCATATATTAAAAAAATAAACTTAATATTATCAGCATCCTCTTTAAATCATGTTCATGTGTAGTCACAAGTAGGGCGAAAATATATAGAAAGTGCTTTAATTGCTAGATCATCCGTAGTACATTTACGTCCAGGTTCTTGCAATTTACCATTCTTTATCACAATGTGGGATATTTAATGACAAAAGTGATAAAACCATAAAGAAAAAGAAACTAAATGAAATCGGCTAGATTATAGGCACAAACTCATATTACTTTTTTTTTTAAATTAAAAAATTAAATATAAAATTTCAGTGTCCTCTCACCTTTGTACATCAACGTAAACATCACTTCAGTCTGATGAAATCCTTAAAGACGAAACGCCTCACATCAAAAATGTTTCCATTTTGTTATAGATTTTAGAAAAATTGTTCTGATATATAAAAATTTATGTACCTTTTTCAAATACATACATATATATATATATATATATATATATATATGTGTGTGTGTGTGTTATGAAATGGATAAAGTTAGACAATTATTTTAAGACATTTTTTATGTTTATACATTCTTTTTTATAGATATAAATATTTAAGTAAATGCTCTGTTTATAATAAACAGTATTAACAACATTTACCGGCCTAAATTTACCGAAGAAATATAGATGATGAAATTTAGGGAACCCCCATCGCCATCCGTTGAAAGATTGTCTTGTACATGGATATCCTCGAATACAAGTGGCCAGCTTATTATTATTTATTTGATTCTTTCTCTAGGATTTTTATGTGTCCGAAGCTTGAGACTAAGTGTCAGCGGATGAAATTCTTTTCAGCAGCTGGTCTGGTCCGTTTCCTTGGTCGGCACTATCTGTCTTAAGACTAGTTTTTTAAAGACGATAGAATTTCATTCCCGAATTGTTCTTGATTTTAATTGGTTCAATGAAATGACTCATTGGACAATCCCTTTTTCTCCACCTGCATTTAGGAATGATAACCTTTTGTTTATTTCTTTATTTTTTCTTATCTTTTTGTCTTTATTTCTTTATGCCAAACCAAAATGGTTCGCCATCTTTTAGCTTTAGATTTTTTTTTTTTGAAATAGTGATACTTTCATTTTTCTGTCACTACACTTTCAAATTCATTTCAGCAGAATTCCCCACAGAAGTCGCAAGGAGTCACTTTCCTGGAGGTTAGCATCAGCCTTGCTGATGGAAGGCAAAAAAAAAAAGTTCTCTCAGACGATTAAGAGAGACGTTTTGTTTTTAAAATTAACAAGCCATTTCTTGCCACGTTTAGTATCAGATTGTAAATCATTTTGGGGGCTCAGCTGCTAATTTGACCTCATCGAACCGATCAAACTTGCTATTAAGACAGAATTAAATTGTTGTGTCATCAGCATAGTGCTGTGGTAGGATCCACCTAATTTGCATAGTAAATATAAATATGGTTGGTACCGGGAAGACGGGGGAAGGAATCAAGAGATTCAATCCAGAGACTCTGCCCGACTGCGACTAAGTAAACACATTCTCCAGGAACGGTCTTCCCAAGAATATACAAAAGACTATATGTAAATATTGTGTACACTTTCTTGTTTCAATACATTTTGTTCTAAGTACATTTTGTGTTGTATTATTATTCCATGCATTAGTCAAGTTTCAACACATAGATACCAACTTAAAAACTCACTAGGCTTCGGTCATCATCCTCCTCATCATCCCTTCACTTTTGTAGTCAAGGTGGGGTGGTGAATCCGAATGCACAAGCTAATCTGAATCCCCTCCACAACAGTCTCCCAACGGCAGTCATCAGCAATTCTTGTATATTCATACTTGTCCATAGTTTGACATTGTCTAACCAGTTTTAGCGTTGACGTCCTTTCCTACGTCCGCCTTCAACGGTGACTTGCTTGATGGTCTTTCACAGGCCGTCGAGTGTTGCCTTGGTTAGTATCAGACTGTAGATCATTTTGGGGGCTCAGCTGCCAATTTGACCTCATCGAACCGATCAACCTTGCTATTAAGACAGGATTAAATTGTTATGTCATCAGCATGAAACCCACTAGGCTTGGATCATTATCCTCCTCCTCCTCCTCATCCCCTTGACTTTTGTAATCGTAGGGTGGGGGGATCCTCCACAATGGTCTATCAAAGACAGCCATCAGCAATTCTGCTACAGATGTCCGTTGTTTGACATTGTCCAACGAGTTTTTGCGTTGGCATCCTCTCCTACGTCCACCTTCAACGGCGCCTTGCATGACGGTCTTGCATAGGCTGTTGTGTCTTGTAATGTGTCCAAACCACGCCATTTTTCTCCATTTGACAGTGGCGAGAAGAGATTCCTGGTGTCCCACCAAACTTTCAACCTTTTTCCGCACTGTCCCATTGGTTTTATGTGAACTAACACCTTTATCCACTATGAGTTCAATACCCGGTTAAAGCAGTGGAGAACTTTCAGAGGGAAATTAACAGGAGATAACTGATAACTGACATCCATTAAACATGGCACGTGGAACTAGAACAGTCTACGCCAGTGAGCGAAATGAAGGCTTAAGTTCGACATTCCAACCCCCTGAAGAAAGCCGGAATGTACAACGGCCGAAACGTTGTAATAAATATGGCGACAAAGATGAGGACAATAGTCCGAATAATGTAAATAGTGTACATAACACCTCATCTCAGAAATATAGACAGATACTGAAGAATGCCGGAGCGTACAGCGGCCGAAACGTTGTCATAACTTATGGCGACAAAGAGGAGGACAATAGTCTGAATAATGTAAATAATGTACTTGTTCAGACTGTTGATCACTCTCTCCCAGAAACTGTAACTAAAGTTCGCTCGGCATCGTTCCAGGTGGGCTCTGTGGGTGTTGAACAAATGCAAATGTGCTTGAGCAGGCGGCTGCAATGGGGATTAGCTAGCCACCCTTCTAGATTGGCATCGTCGGATACGATTGGCTGCGCTATTTGCATAAACACTGCACTTATTTTTATTTAAAGACTGAGTACATCTTTTTGGACACCTGCATATTAACATGTCAAATCATAAAACAATAATTTATTCACGTATGCGTAGATCAAATATGTGTCTATGGTATAAATCTTTAGAATTATAACTTTATGCTTCACTTGCATTTTTGTATAAACCAATCTGACGCTCTTCAAACAAAATCTTGCCAATCTTTTAAATAAGGCCAAACATTTGGTTAACAGCAATTTCGCGAAAGTGTTTTCATCATAAAATTTGATATATTGTTTTCAAAATATTTTATTACATACATAATGAATATAGATCATAAATTTCACCGTCATGGGTGTGACGATAAACTACATCCGCGTTCTGGGTAAGACAATATACAACGTCCGACAGCAAGGCCTCTGATCAGTGTGTGTGTGTGTGTGTGTGTGTAATGGCAGTTTACTCCTTTTCAGACGGCTCGCTAATCCCCGTTGCAGAGGACTGCTCAGGTACATTTTTGTTCATTCAACACCCACAGAAGCAACTTGTGCCGTATAATGCAACTATTCTGGATTGGAAAGAGTGCATAATCTGGCGATTTTCGAATAGTTTCGTCTAACCAGTTCTGTGGTATGATTTTCAAGCACGCTAGAATCCGGATTAGTATCCAAGCTGAAAATATCAAGAATCCACCTCCCTAAAAAAAAAAAATGTTCGAACGTGGATTTAATGGTAGCAAAGCGACCATTGTAAGAACTCTGGCACGTGTTCACTTTATGTATACACATATAGGTTTTTCTGAATTATAATTGCGCATGCGTATCTTAAATATATGTCATAAATGTAACACACACTCACACACACACACACCTATATATATATATATATATATATATATATTCGAAAATTATAACATAAATATGTTATGAAATCACTACAAAAATAGCGATTTTGCTTCAACACCTCTGGTGTCTTATCAAGGGATGATGTTGTTACACTAGAACACATCTATTCTATAGTGAATAGACTCTCCCACATATAATAAATAGTAGCATTCGCCAGGAAGCTCAGTGAGTTGGTCAGTCAGTCGACTGGCTGATCGGTTGAACTCTCTGCCTTCGGGCGGGGAGGAACCCGAAAGAGGCTATGTCTAAGGGCGGATTCTCTTTCGGGGAGGTAAACCGATCCTGAACCCATTTTTTCGGGTTCAAAGGGCATATTTTTGGCCGAGCCCACGGGCTCGGAGATCCCACGGGCTCGGAGATCCTACGGGCTCGGAGATCCCACGTTAAACTGGCCTTGTGCCACATGATGCCCTCGTTGGGGGTGGCTAAATATCGAGTTGGTGAGTCACTCGATGTCGGACATTAAAGTATCAGCCACCACAACTAGATTGCTGCGTCATTAACTATTATATCAAGTTCCTAACGTTTTGTACATCGAACCTTTTTAGGACCGATTAGTGAAATACAAGCCTCCACTGTGAATCTAAACTATACCAGATGTTGAATCGCTCTACTCTGTATTGAGCACTCTTTTAAGAATAGTAATTGTTGGTTATTGGAATTTATTCCATATATACCAATCCTATACTTGGGTATATATATATATATATAGATAGATAGATAGATAGATAGATAGATAGATAGATAGATATGTAAGGGATGTAACTTGGTTAAAAATGTAATTCTTGTTAGAAGGTTATAATTTACTTGTTTTAAAAATTGTTTAGTTTTAACGCAGATATTTCTATAGAACTATATACTTTAAGCATTTCGGAACACATATATATATATATATATATATATATATATATATATATACAAAAGTGTGATGGGTAAATTGGCGCTATTTTTTTTTAATTTAATTTTGTTTGTTTTTGATTTTGTCGACTGCACAGTATATTAGGGGTCTGTAGACCACTGTCTTTGAGAAAGAGACCACAATACGCAAATCACTGCGCCAAAAATTTAGAAACAGCATGCTGTACTGCCTGGCATTTGCACCGGAAAATCCAATACGAAAGTTTCAGAGTGTTTGGTTTTCAATCTGAGGACAGTGCAGAGGATTCGGAAAAACGTTGGATAATTCTAATGGTGATTACAAAAGTATGGCAGTTAAAAAAAACAAAAAAACTCATCGTTCTGATAATTCCCAAATTTGTTGGTGAGATCCAGGCCATGATTGAAAACGATGCCTCCAATTCAATCAACTCCATAGCGGGGTGGGGAGCACTGCTGACCTGGGTCAAAAGGGTGGCCGCTGGAAGACGCTATGTCTGGCAACAGGATTCTCCACGACGCCATACAATCAGGAGAACTCAGTTTTGGCCACCTAACTACCCAGACTGCAAACTCCTTGGTTATTATGTCATGGTCGTAGTTTAGCGAGAGACCAACAAATCTCCTCGTAACACCAAAGTTGAAATGAAGACAAGGATTATGGCAGCATTCACCAACTTTAAACAAGGAGACCATTCAGAAGAGTTACAAGAGATTCCGAAGTCGTCTGGAGGCTGTTGTCAAAGCCAATGGTGATTTTATTGAATACATTTACTCGTTAGTATTTCAAGATATTTTTGTAAATATATCCGTTAAAATGAGATGTCAGTGTTATTTTCATTTTTTCGTAATGCCGACGACAATTTATCCATCGCACACTATGTGTGTGTGTGTGTATATATATATATATATGTATGTATATATATATATATATATATACTATAAAATATATAAAATATATTTTTAATTCTTAAATGTACATGTGAATATATCTTTGAACATAGATAGATAGATAGATAGATAGATAGATAGATAGATAGATATGAACAGACTGGGACAGATAGATAGATAGATAGATAGATAGATAGATAGATAGATAGATAGATATGAACAGACTGGGATAGATAGATAGATAGATAGATAGATAGATAGATAGATAGATAGATAGATATGAACAGACTGGGATAGATAGATAGATAGATAGATAGATAGATAGATAGATAGATAGATAGATAGATAGATAGATAGATACTGGGATAGATAGATAGATAGATAGATAGATAGATAGATAGATAGATAGATAGATCGTGTTACCAATAATTGAATACTTAAAGCATTCAACCTTCAGGTCTTTTGTTTTGCCGAACTATATTCCTACGCCTACTTGATGTAGAGTGCTGTGTCAATACAGCGCTAAGAGGCTGGCGTACGAATCCGTTGGAGGTTCGGATTTTTTTGCCGCAGTATCACGTGGTTAATCACCATGACAACACACTTGCACTTGAGAACTAAGTCGAGGAAACGACTCATTTAGTTTTTGTTCTATTATTTTTTTGTTTTGTTGTTTTTATCAGATTTTTTTTTCTGTTTTTGTCTCGGCGCCATTATTTATATTTTAACCGTTCTTCTCATTGCTAAAGTTTTCTGACCTTTGCTAAAATACTAGTTTATTTGCCTTTCCAAATATAACTTCCATTCACTTCCAATATAATTGATGAATGTACTTATGGTCGAGGTTATTGGCTTTGCAGAACTTGTTTGAAAAACTAAATATTTAAATGTGCGTTAGTACCATACAATTTATGAACATTCCACGATTAGTTTTTCTTAGTATTTAGTAAGTAGAAAGTTAAATTTTCATGATTAGTCAAGCAACTTTTTGAATACATGTCAAGTAAATACAAGTTTCTGGTTTTCGTCATATTTGTGTGGATTTGAAGCAATTTTAAGGTTGCAAAAGGGTAAATTTGCAGATTAAGCTCCAGAAACCAATTGTAATGAAAATTTTCATTCTGGTGTGAAATTGCCTGATTAATTCCAAAATAACAATAAAAGTTTGCAGAAGAAAATTGTTTAGGAGTTATCGACAATATAAATTCGTCCTTATTCGAGTCTAGCCCGGCCGCCATTACTGGCTTTGTTTACATACGTTTGCTTCGAGTACTAATGCGTGGTAGCTTACTTAGTTAACGGCCTTTTTACTTATCTTCTTACTCGTCTTGATTACTGCGCAGTTCGCGAAATTTAAGTTCGCTCATTGTGCAGTAATCAAGACAAGTGAAGATTCCATGAATTATTGCACGAGGCAAACATAAGTAAACAAAGCCAACAGTGGCGGCCGGGCTGTAACCGCGATATGAATGAGACCGGAATTATTTTGTCTATAACTCCTACATGGTTTTCTTCTTAAATGGTAAATTTTTATTGTTATTTTCAAAATAAACAGGCAAATTTACAAAAGAATGGTTTTGACAACTGGTTTCCAGGATTTAATCTGCAAATATACCGGCAAAAGTTTGTAGTTTGATATTTTAAGACACGCATTTTAAATTTGTTTAATTATACAATAATAAAGACGTATATATTAAGTTTTCAAATAAATTTGTTCGATTTTTGTTTTTGTTTTTTGTTTTTTGTTTTTTTTGCATTTATTTTAATCCAATTATTCATCAACAATTTTAACAAATCAGTCAATAATATATTCTTCGTTGTTCACGACAACTTGCCAACTGTCCACTAGCTTGCCAATGCCTTGACTTTAGAAACAATCGGGTTTTGATTCGAAGAATTCAATGAGTCATGTTTCCAACTCCACGAATATTGTTAAAAACCACAGCTGGGCTCTATGGGTGTTGAATAAACACAAATGCACCTGAGCAAGCGTCTGCAATAGGGATTGTCTAGCCGCCCTAGTAGACGCGTATCCTTGAATACGAGTGGCCAGTTCTGATGTTATTCTTTTCCCTGCTCTTCTTTACTTATTAATCTTTCGCAACCGACATATTTTTATTTACAAATCTGTCAACTCTGAAACTGTGACATGGTAATTAATAACTGCGTATTACTGCTGCTATCATTTTCCTAACTCTTCCTTGCCATTCTCGTTGTTGCCGCTGCCTCCATCTTGTATGAATTAACAGAATTGACTCAGTCTAAAGCCATTGCCTTTTCTTTTCGACAATCTTCTAGGCGAGACATGAGTAACCCGAGGCTTTTAATTCACACATTAATTTACTGAAAATGACCTCATATATTAATTAGGCAAAATATTGCGTCACGTAAAATGTTTAGTTAATTAAATAAAATAAAAAATAAACATTTTTATATTTATGTTTGATATTAGCTTTAATGAATAACATATTTCCTGCCTTGTTCTATTACCTTTCAACAGCTAACGTCATCATTGAATTCTCTAAAATTCTATCTTCCTCTGCCAAGAAATGCTTTAGGTGTCTTTATCGTATTCCAAAAGAATTGAATGTTTTATTCAGAGAATTCTAAAAAAATAATTCAATCAATTGCGATCAGCAGTTGTAGGATCTGGCAAAATCCTTTCGCCAAAATGTAATAAATGTTGTTTGATTACCAAAGAAACACGTAATCGATCTTTATCATGAATAACTATTACACTTTCTATTAACTAATTCAGGTCCTTTTTTTCATCGATTGCTGCCTCCACGATGTCTAATTATCAGAAAAAAAACAAATGTTTCATTCTCCCGAAAGAGCTTCCAGTAGAAAATTAATTTTCAGTCCTGATCTAAGTTCTGGGTATGACGATAAACTACATCCTTTTGTCGGGCCATTGGGTGTTTGAAGAGCCTGGAACCATCTTGCCGTTTTTTGTTGCGATAGGCAACAATAAATTGAAGAAAAACTCAAAATTGATCTCCGCATTTGAGTATTGCATCAATATTTAAGCTTGCTTTGTAAAAATTCAACTCTAATTCTTCTGTCGCCACTTGAAGACATTTTTATGTAAGTAGGTGTCTTACTTTCAGCATAAACAATTATTTTTTTTATTTCATGAGCGACTTTTGTTGGATTTCGCAATTAATTTCCGAAAACAATTACAATACTGAAAACTTGCGAATTCAAAATTTCTATAACACGAGCTATTGAAACTTAGAGAGTTGTGTCCTTTTAATTGAAAAAGTGTGACACTGAAATTCGCATTTATTATACAGAAGAGTTATTAAGAGTTGTGTCCCTTTAATCGAAAAAGTGTGACACACTGACATTCCCATTTATTATACAGAAGAGGTATTGAGAGTTGTGTCCCTTTAATTGAAAAAGTGTGACACACTGACACTGATATTGGCACTTATTATATAGATGATTTTAAATGTTATTATAGGGGACACTTCGTATTTGAAACAGACGCCCTGTTTTTATTTATTAAACGGGGCGTCTATTTTAATTAGAAAATGTCCCGTATAATAATATTACAAGTAATAAAAATTTCGGATTAAAAATAAATCCATTATTTCTTTATATATAGATATATATATATATATATATATATATATATATAATTTGGTAGCAATTAATACATTTTTATTTTGTTTTAATCTGGTAGCATTTCTTATTAGAATAAATATTACATTTAATAAGTGCAAATAGCCTTGCCTGTTCCTTAAATAGTAAAATTAATATCTACCAGACAAAAAGATCATAATAAAAAAAAGTAACTGCTAAAAAGAATATAACCATATTCTTTTTTTTTATCTGTAAAACTCTTTGCCAAACGTGTTTTAACAATTAAGCTACCGGAAGGCATGAAACAGACTTTCTATTCGTTGTTAAACACTATACACACTACTTATATATATATATATATATATATATATATATATATATATATATATATATATATATATATACATATATATATATATATATATATATATATATATATATATATATATATATATTAAAAAAAATCCATAATCACCTGATATGGGGAATAGCCAATGTCGGCAGAGGAAAATATAGGTCGTCTGTCATATCAAATCAGTGTATTAACAATTAATATACCGGAAGGCATGAAACAGACTTGCAATTGGTTGTTAAACCCTATAAACAATTCCACACACACACACACACACACACACACACACACACACACACACATATATATATATATATATATGTATGTGTGTGTGTGTGTGTGTGTGTGGAATTGTTTATAGTGTTTAACTATATATATATATATATATATGTGTGTGTGTGTGTGTGTGTGTGTGTGTGTGTGTGTGTTTGTGAACAGTAAAATATAAAATCACCTCATATGGGGAATAAATTATTTCGGCAGATAAATAATATCGGGCGTCTGTCTTACCAAACCTGATGTGAATTGAGTTTGTATCAAAAATAATAGTTTATTGATTATTGGATCTGTAAACATAAATATATTGTACTCTTTATCCGGATCAGTTTTAATATTTTATATTACTAGGATCCACCTGGATTATATACCATCGGATTTGTTAGCTTTTGCTATATATATATATATATATATATATATATATATATATATATATATATATATATATCAGAGAACATTGAAGTCAAATGACAGAGGCAACAGACTGTTTCATGCTAAACGCAATCATCAGGCCATGATGATTACGTTTAGCATGAAACAGTCTATTGCCTCCGAGAGTTGACTTCAATGTTATATATATATATATATATATATATATATATATATATATATATATATATATATATTTTGTGTGTGTGAGGTGTGTGTGGGTGTGTGCGTGTGTGTGTGCGTGTGTATTAAAGAAAACAAGAACATTTTGTCGAACCAAAGAATAATTTGCCAAAACCTAAAATTCTTGCCCAGATACAGTCCCAAGTAAAACCGACTACACTGAAAAAAAAAGTAAAAGAGAAAAATGGCTTAAATACAAACTTAATTCCTCAATAAAGTGCTCGAAGCCTAGATGGCCTAGATCGAAGAAAAGACGCTTAAATCCTGTGAAAGGATGGCTCTAGTAATAACGCGAGTTTCACGCTCACGAGATTTTCAAATACATATATGGGACTGGCATAACAGGATTAAAATCCAGTCAAGATCGTTGCGTTCACTTTCGCATATATATTCTTGGGAATGGGGTAAATACATCTCTTCTTCCCCCAGCAATGGGTTAAATAGTGAGTCACACTAACCTCTAAAATTTTGATTTAGAAGAAAGACAAATCTGAATTTAATACCGTGGAGGCATGAGGCTAGCAACCTAAACGCCTACTTGCCACTTAAATTCACAGCATGGTGAGGGTGTGGCGCAGTACTTCACAGTGAGTTTCTCATTTCAAAAAGACTATATGCACACACACACACACACACACACACACATATATATATATAAATATATATAAACACACATACGCACGCAGACACACATATATATATATATTTATATATATATATGAATATATATATATATGCAGAATATTTTCATTCAAAGCAGGTTTGATTGAATATATATATATATATATATATATATATATATAGATATAGATATTTTTTATGTTTATACATTCTTTTTATAGATACAAATATTTAAGTAAATGCCCTGTTTATAATAAACAGTATTAACAACATTTACCGGCCTGAATGTCCGAGAAATTGTCATAGAAAATATGCGTCCTCCGGCAGGAATCGAACCTGTATCCTATACGGAACCGTCATATAGCCTGACGTGCTTTTACCGATTTCGCTACAGAGGAGCGTCTCCGTTAGCAAGGTCGATTTTACTGGTTTTAAACTACACTCTTCCATGATTCTCTCACTTCCATTCATATCTGCTCAAAGCTTATCTAAATATAAACAAATGACGTCACACATTATAAAATGGACAAAGCCCGACAATTATTTTAAGACATTTTTATGTTTATACATTCTTTTTTATAGGTACAAATATTTAAGTAAATGCTCTGTTTATAATAAACAGTATTAACAACATTTACCTGCCTAAATGTTTGAGAAATTTTATCTATAAAAAAGGATGTTTAAACACAAAAACCTCTTAAAATAATTGCCGGAATTTGTCCATTTCATAATATATATATATATATATATATATATATATATATATATATATATATATATTTTCTGGGTGTGTGCAGAATATTTTCATTCAAGCGGTTTTGATTAAATAATTTAGTAGTATTATTGCTATTAAGTCTATTTTAGTTTAGATTCTTTCAAGTCCACGAATTAATTTCTTGATGGCTGTAGAAAATTGATAAAGAAAAATTCGAAAATTTTCTTTCAGATAATTTTTATTTTAACAACTACTTTGATCTCATCTGAGCCTATATACAGTAGGTTCGTAAATTCAAAATATTTTTTCATCGTTCAATTACAGCATCCCAAAGTGTGAATTCGAAAATTTTAACTATGCAAGGCGGGTAACTTTGTAATTTTTATTTTAATTATTAAATAAATATACTATTTAATTATTTCACCACAAGCAAGCGTGGAGTGCCATTAACATGCAAGGGATTACAGAGAGTGAAATAAGAGTAAAGAGGGGGGGTGAGGAAAGGATATAGAAAGTGAAACGGGGATCAGGATCAAGGCATCAGAAGATATCGATTGACATTACATTTGAATATTCAAAGATTACAGCTATCAGGGGAACAAGAAGGGAGTTCCACTGTTGGGAAGTGCAAAAGAAAAAACTGTTGGAGTAGAAGATGCGGTTACATTAAACTGTTTCGACGGTGAAATGGTAGAACCGTGATGCCAGCCTAGTAGCACGCTTAAATTCATGTAAGTGAGGCAGCCGTGAAGGTAGTTCGTTAGAGCAGCTGGCATAAAAATATTTGTAGAAAAGACAGAGGGAAGTCACAGCACGTCCGTGATAGTGACTGTAGACGAGATGCCAGATCAGGACCTATCACATATATATATATATATATATATATATATATATATATATACACACACACACACACACACACACACACACACACACACACATATATATATATATATATATATAGATAGATAGATAGATAGATAGATAGATAGATAATATTAGTGATCAGTGTATATATATATATATATATATATATATATATATATATATTTCTAATAGAATAAAATCCAGGTAGAGCTCTATGTACAAGACAAAGCAAGAATATAACGTAAAAGACTCAAACACTAATATTGTATGGTTATAATTTATTACATTGGAATCGTAATCATGATTCAATTCATCAGACCTCGAAATTCAAAAAGAAAACGGAAAAATCTGGGTTTTTTTTCTGTTTTTGTTGCAGCATACGTACAGATAAAAATGGGTATGTCCCCATTCACATAAATACAGTAGTAAATACTGTATGTTGGTCTGCAGTTGGAGATTCGTCTCCGGTTATGCTGGTCAAACTCTCTGTGCTGGTCAAACCAGGCAGAGAGGATAACTAGACGAGGCTGTGTCGAAGGGCAGAGTCTCGTCTACCCATACCCGTTTTATACAGGGTCTACGGGCAATTTTTGGCCAAGCCTACGGTTTCGGATACCCCCTCATTAAATTCGGCTTGTGTCGCATCTGACCTCGTGGGGCGGTTGGGAGATATTCTGCAATTGGAGATTGTGGAATTCATTTGACTCACTTCTATCAGTTGACTGGCGAATTTTGTATGTGTTGTTCGTGTCCTAAGTATTACCAAGCTTTGGTTATTCTATTCAGTAACCTTTCCTAGGTTACAACAATTTTCTTTTTGAATTTGGAGGTCTGATGAATTAGATCGTGATTACGATTCAAATTTAATAAGTTAATTAATAGTGTTTGAGCCTTGTATTATATATATATATATATATATATATATATGTGTGTGTGTGTGTGTGTGTGTGTCATTCGCAGAAAGTACTCTTTCGCTGTATCACGGCTCCTCAGTGCGACTAGACAACCGAATGCCTCAAGCCCGGATCGAAAACCAACCGATTTTGTGTCAGTCTGAGCCATCTTCAGAACGAATCAGCCAAATCTAGCGTATTGTTTTTACAAACGTAAACAAACGCCAAGCAGCCAAAGTGCTCCATCCATTTTACTGAAGAGCTTCGCATTTATGCAGGTGACCGTTGTTTTTAGAATTAGCTTGTCGTTCAACAGTGCTCAACTGAAAATATATTTTCAAGAGCTAAATTATATATCCCAATGTTTGTTTCCTTAAAATAACTTAAAGAAAGTTGTTTTCTAAGAAGTACAAGTAAAGCTTTGATGAAAGTGAGAAATTACAAACACAAACGCTGTTTTGTTAAAACCCTCACCAAATCAAGAAAATTGACGACGAAAAAGAGAAAGGTTGAACATTCAATTTCATTTTTTTTTTTTTTGCCTTTTACATTCAACGGAGCCAACCTATTTGCTGCTGTAGATTTTCATAATCGCTACGAGAGAAAACATTTCAAGTAGGATCCCCTTACTTCTAAAGGAAGGCGAATCCTCACATTATTCTACTGTTTTAAAAGATCCAAGTTCTGATATGTATATACGTGGGTACGTTAAAATTTTTTCGCATTTTCGTCATAAAATATCGTATCTGATTTGTGCTAAAGTGTGGGCTACATAACTAAATAAAAGCTTTAATAACTCTTCCGCCGTTTTCGGACAGCCCATTCCTTAAAAACGAACAACCAGACTATCCGAAGATTTGTACAGAACTAACACTTTTGAAAGAACCGAATACAAAGGATTACTACACTTCGTCCTCTCAGGTTTTGAATTCAGTTTTCCTTCTTTTATTCTGTTTGGCCCAGTCTGTCCTGCTATTTTATCCAGAGATGAAGAGAAGAGACGGATTCATACCTTTCCCAAGGATAATTGCACAAAACCCGACTAGATATCGAACTCGGATCTCCGAATCCAAATCGATATCAAGTACACCACTGCACATTTCTATATATCTTGTCATATGATATTATAATTGCCGCAAGGAGTAAATCGGAGAAACCTTAAGGAATTTAAATAAAAGATTATATGAACACAAAAGGGATCTGTTACAAAACAATACATTAAATGCATTAGCTGCTCACCATAATGAGTTTGACCACAATATATGTTTAGGTTTGTCACAATGCCTTCTTTTCAAGTATACTTATAGTCGTCACTATTGTAGTCACGTAATCGAAGTTTGAACTTGATTGCACCAGTTTTCTTGCTGCAGTTAGTGTAAACACGTCCGCCCCGCTAACAGTGCACGCCGAGGAGGAACAAAATCTATGATTCGAATGTACTGAGAACATGCTACCTCATCGATGTTAACACGCCGTTTCGCCATTACCATCTCTCGTGCTTGCTAAATCTTCTCGTCAGTGGTAGTAGTTGACCGGCTTCCTGATCCTTCTTCGTACGTCACTCTTATCCGACCACTTTTAAACTTATCGATGCACTCATATACACTTCTATGCGGTAGTGCACTATCGCCGTTTTGTGTGTTAAAAGCCTCCGATGGATTTCAACCCATAACATTCCAACCATTGAAACCGCATCACTGCTCTTTGTTCCACCTTAGTGCACACTGCTGGCGGAGTGGCCATGTTTACATTGTAACAGCAGCAAGAAAACTAGTCAAATTTTGATCGTGTGACCACAATCATACCAACTATAAGCACGCATGAGCATAAGGTAGTGTAAGAAACCTAAAGATATGTTATGACAAGAGTGCAGATAATTTTTGAATTACCCTTTTATATCAGGACGCTTCCGTCGATTATGACGGATAAGGGCCTGCCACATCCAGTTCTCAGATCTGAACCACCAAACTACCCACATATATGATTTCATTATACTGGTGAAGGCTTGTGCAGAACCATTTACAGTTGTCAGATAACAGAGAACTGATACACAGTGGCCCATGAAGTTTTCAAACAACAATCGTCAACTTTTGAATTCAGAGTTGTTCTTTTCAAGAATAGTCGCGACGGGGTGAGAAAGTGTGGATTTATACCTTTCTTAAATGTATTTGCCCGAAAGTGAATGTAGCGAAATTTAAACACGGGTCGACAATTTCTTGTCCTGTTCCGAGACCATAACTATAATATTACCTGCACAAACAGGTATAATGATAATAAAATCACACACACACACACACACACACATATATATATATATATATATATATATATATATATATTATTGTGTGTGTGTGTGATTTTCCTTATACCATATATGTATATAGAGAGAGAGAGATAGAGAGATAGAGAGAGAGGGAGAGATAGATAGATAGATAGATAGATAGATAGATAGATAGATAATATTAGTGGTAAATATACACATACATATGCAATCATATAGCTAAAATATATAAATATATACACATACATACATACATACACATACACATATATATATATGTATAAAAAATAATTCCAAGAGGATAGAATCCAGGTAGAACTCAATGTCCAGGACAGAGTAAGGATATAATAAAAAGGCTTAAACACTAATATTAGTGTTAAGCCTTTTTATTATATATATATATATATATATATATATATATATATATATATCTTAAAGAAAGTGATCATAATCTATTAATAAAATAAGATATAAAAGTATCACAGACAAAAGCAAAAGCGTGAAACCCAGGGTTACAAACTAATATCTATACAAATGAATATGTCAGCTCTATCACAGATATTGAGCACTTTCTACTAAATACCGCACATATATATGTGTGTGTGTTTGTGTGTGGCCTAAAATTTGCATTAAACCATGAAACAGTCTGTCTCCACTCGCTGTTGACCTCGATGCCCACTCTTATATTTAGACACACCCTGATACTAATTACGTTTACCGATAAATATAGCATATTTAAAAACTTGATATTTTATTATATATATGCATATATATATATATATATATATATATATATATATATATATATATATATATGTGTGTGTGTGTTTATGCGTGAGAGTGTCAATGAGTGAGTGAACATTATATTTGTTTTTTTTCTTATGCAATAAGAATTTATATTTAACATTTCGATGTTGAGAATTATGTTACGTTTTCGTAAAATCTCACGGGAAATCTGCACGCACCTGTCATTTGACAAGCAGTCGGTATGATGCAAGTTTAGTTTGTACACATAAGTTGGGGAAGAGAATGAAAAGTAAAAACATTATTAATATTACCAATGCTAATAAAAAATGTATCTGAAAAGGATATTAAAATTCACACCCGGATAATAATAATAATAATAATAATAATAGTAATAAAGTACAACCACTTGGCGAGATGAAACTGGGTGGACAAGAACGTTGCAGGGCAAATGCATAAAAAGAACGAACGAAGCACATGTCGACCAACACAAAACACATCAGTGGCTGCGGAGCACCGGGCTGAAAGCTGAGACAGAAGGCGTAGTTATTGCAGCTGAGGATCAAAACCTAGCAACCGGATCCTAACACTGTCACATTACCAAGGATGTAACTAACCCGAAATGCAGGATCTGCGGAAAATATGATGAAACTGTCGGCCGTATTATCCCAGGATGTCAGGAACTGGCAAGAAATGAATATACCCAGATACATAACAAGGTAGCGACATCTGTGCACTGGAGGATATGCAAGAAGTACAAAATCGAAACCACTGAGAGATGTTATGAGCACCAATCAGACACAGTTACCCAAAATAACGATGTAACTATCCTCTGGGACATGTCAATTCAAACTGACAGGGAAATAAAATCCAAAAGACCTGATATTATAATAAAAGACAAGAAATTCAGGAAGTGTATGCTTATTGACATAGCAGTAGCATCTGAGAGAAACACCTTCATAAACATTATCGAGAAATCGATCAAATACAAGGACCTGGAGATAACAGGGTGTGATGAATGAAGACTGAGACTGCACCAATAATAATCGGAGCACTGGGCCTCGTGAGAAAAAAAATGGACAATTTTACTAACAATGCCCCAGGTAACATCAATATATAAGTTGCTCAGAAGAATGCCCTACTAGGAACATCCCATATACTAAGAAAAGTGCTATCAATTAAATGACAATTCTCTTATAGGGCCTAAAACCATATTTTGGTCAGGTAATCTGGCATGACACAGTGGGTCAATATCTGCACTAGAAAATCTGCAACTTCTACGTGAAGGAAACTGATAGAAATTGGTATGAACACCACCCAGACCCGGTTACGGGGATAGGACCTATTACAATTTTATGGGACTACACAATACACACTGACAGAACAATCAAAGCCAACCGCCCAGATATTGTTATTAGAGAGCGCAAACAAAAAATGTGCCTCCTTATTGATATGGCAGTCCCTGCTGACTGCAATGTATCTTTGAAGATATTAAAAAAAAACTGTCAAAATACAAGGACCTTGAAAAAAGGTACATGCAAACATCAACAATCCCTGTTGTAGTTGGTGCCCTCGGATTGGTTGGAAAAGATTCCAGTAGACTAATTGAAAGGATTCCTGGAAGTCCATGCCTTTAAGAAATACAAAAAATTGTTCTGACAAGTACAGCCCACACTTTACGAAGGGCTTTATCTATGTAATTTTTTTTTTTTTTTTTTGTCAGTAGAAAGTGTCATGATGCCATTTCTAACCTTAGGTCTCTGGGCAGGATCCGGAAAGAAATGGGTACACGCCAGCAATCAAAAGAAATAATAATAATAATAATAATAATAATACAACCCACACCTTACGAAGGGCTTTATCTATGCAAAATATGTTTGTGTTTTGTTTTTTGTTTTTTTAATTGGTCAGTGAAAAATGTCATGATGCCATTTCTAATCTTAGGTCTCTGGACGGAACCCGGAAGGAAATGTGTAAACGCCAGAAATCAAAGGAATTATTATTAATAATAATAATAATAATAATAATAATAATAAATGTCAAAGGGTATGAATCTTCTCTTCACCTCTGGGTAAAATAGCAGGACAGATTGTGCCATAAAACAAAAGAGAAGGAAAACTGAATTCAAAACCTGAAGTGTAGTAATCCTTTGTATTCAGTTTTTTCAAAAGTGTTAGTTCTGTATAAATCTTCGGATAGTCTGGTTGTTCGTTTTTAAGGAATGGGCTGTCCGAAAACGGCGGAAGAGTTATTAAAGCTTTTATTGTTACGGTTTTTTGGTATACGGCACATAACTAGTGAGCGAGTCAGAATGACTTATTTCCCTTTGTAGTCGACCAATAGAAGGTTGACCAATCAGAAGCCGCCCAACACTGTATTCATCGTCTATAAAGGCGGCCATCTTGTTTCCTCCTACCGGAAGGACCAAAGTCGACCAGGAGAAGGATGAACTACACTCTGCTGTGATATCCACTGCGAACCTCCACTACGCTTTCCTACTGTCTCCGACATATTCACTGCCAACCTCTGGATTCGATACTCGAGGACGACCGTTATAAGAATGTCTAACACTTATTTAGTTATGTAGCCCACAAATCATTTACGATCAGTAGCCATGAAAGCCATCACTTTTGTAGTGTCATGACATTTATTATAATTTTCTTTTACAAAAAGTATTAAAATGGGCCGAGCATCATTATTTTATGCAAAAATTATTAACTATTTTTCATTTAATTTTCCGACCTGAATGTTTCTACACTTTATTGCAAATGTTAAGAATTTATGTTAATTATTCATTTAACCCTTGACTCTGGCTGATTAGAAATTAGAAGACGTTTGAGAAAAAGTTGACATTAAATTCAGAATGTGGTTGCTCTATGTCTTATTGCAAAGTAGGCCTCTTTATTTAAAAATAATTATGATATAAAGTTTATAAATAAAAGATAATTTGACATCGAACACAATGTCCTGCAAAGATGATAAAAATTATATAATTTTAATCTAATTCAAATTTTGTTCTTACAACCATCACCTTTTCATGAAAACTTGCCATTTGTCGAATCAAAGTGCGATCCGTGTTAATGAACATAGACTATTCGATAGTGGTTTTACCAGGTGCAAGCAGATGTTTGTCAATTCTAATCTGACTCTTCGTTTTCTACTATATAGGATAAGAATGTTTGTTTTTACACACACACACACACACACACACAGACACACACACACACACACACACACACACACACACACACACACACATATATATATATATATATATATATATATAAAAAATATAGTTGTAAAGTATGATATATGTCAGAAACAGACAGTCGCCTCTGGGTGCTGAATTCAATGTCTAATTATATATATATATATATATATATATATATATATATATATATATATATATATATATATATATATATATATATATATATATATGAAATGGACTAAGTCAGATACTTATTTTAATATATTTTCTGTTCATACGTTATTTTTATAGATACAAATATTTAATTAAACGCTATGTTTACAGTAAACATTATTAATTACATTTACCAGCCTGAATGTCCGAGAAATATCGTAGAAAATATATCTCCTTGGACATGAATTTAACCTCTGTCCTACACGAAGTGTCATTTGGCTTGGTGTGCTATACCATTTAGCTACAGAGGAACCGTCTAGTGAGCAAAATCAACTTACTGTTTTTAAACAACAAATTTACAATTCTTTCTTTCGAACGAAATTTGTTTTTTCCTTTTTTTAATGTCTTGGTAAAAAATAATATTTCATTATTCATATATATATATATATATATGTATTAACGCATGTTTCATTAAATAATATAGACAAGTTTTGTCTATTTATTTTAAGTAAGATCCTTTCATATCGTCTGATAAGCTTAATCACATTATCGTTGAAAGACGAAAGGAAAACATCATATTGATACATGTTTAAATCCAATCTAAGCTTTCGCCTTACATAAGCCATTATCAAAGATGACAATTTCAATATATCAAACAACACACGGGCGAAACAACAATGATAGTCCGCACTTGCTGCATGAAAAATTTCAAAGCAACGACAAACTCGAGTCGCAGCTCATGACGTCACACCTGACCATGCGAGAGTGAAAAACGAGAAGTATTAAGTATGGGAAGCCGTTGGTATAAACCAATGTCTTCTGTTATAAATTATAGGCATTTAAGAATATTTGTGGAGATAGTTCATAGTTTATTTTGTTCAGGTTAGGTTTCAACTGTCATCAGACAAATAAAGACAAAATAAATAGACAAAACTTGTCTATATTATTTAATGAAACATGCATTAATGAAAATTTACTGCTTAAATATGCACAATATATATATATATATATATATGTGTGTGTGTGTGTGTGTGTGTGTGTGTGTGTGTGTGTGTGTGTGTGAAATAGTGCACAATAAGGGATGGGGTGATAA